TGCCGTTGTCCAACACTCCAATTGTCTCCATTCTCCAAGACTGCAAGGTAACAGGCATCAGGCACACAAAACGGGATACACGTTATATGTTGTATTGTTTTACATGATGTATATAGTAAATGGGGGCTAGCGTGTCCATGCCAGTGTGATGCTGACTTGGTGACACCCAGACCATAATTGTGATATGGATATATTGATCTGATTGTAAGGGTCTGGATTTGTGCCCCGTCAATTACACACTAGTCAAGAGTATAGAGAGGCACACAATACCTACGCGTGCACCCACATATATACAAGAAACAAAGTCATATACCACCTTAACTATTATGCTAATTACAAACAATGCAAGAAAGGAATTTGTAGGTTTTGAGATTTACAACCTCAAATACTTAATTTTTAGTTTTCTACTTTTGTTCAGACATAATTTACATGAATATCTTTAATTTTCTTTTGGCTTTCTTCTTGGCCAGGTGTAAATATATTCATGTGATATTAGTATAATCCTTGACCAGTTATATATGTGGTCAATCTTATCAATCAAAATAACATTAACCAAGAACTGGCAAGAATGACAGGAAATTTTTGGTCTCTTAAGAAGAATGTTCCTTGATAAAAAAGAAAGGGGAAAACTCCCTCAATACTTTATTTTTATGTTTGTCAGAACAGAAAAGGGAAAAAACCAAAGGCCATCTCCTCCACTAAGTTAATCCTTGTTATATCCTTTCTAACAGCTTCCAACCAAGTTGTCTTACGACTACATCTAATTCTCATTTTTTGTCCATTAATCTTATCACTTCCCCTAACCGGTGTATCTACTGGTCTCCACTGCACATGACCAACCCATCTCAAACGATTCTCTCTCATTTTATGCTCAATATGAGCAAACTTGAACTTCACACTGAACTCACTTCTTATCCTATCTCTCAGTGTATGTTCACTTGTCTATTGTAACATTCACATTTCTGCTACACTTGTATATGAATACAAAGACAAATGTGCTTGTAACAAACCTGGAGCCTCAAGTTTTTGCTCAGTGTGGCGAATCACCTCTCCAAGCTGACACTTGTCGAGTGCCTGAGTAATGACAAGTCAAAATTAAAGCAACCAACTGATGAATCAATATAACTTACAATATTCAGATTTGAAAGAATCACATTCACCTCCCAAACTTTGTGATCAGAGTGCTCCTCGAGGGGATCAAGATTTACTCTTATTGTACCTTCAAACAATGTTGGGTCTTGTGGAATGATACTGAGTCGGGAGCGAAGATCATGGAGGCCAATTGTGGAAATGTCTACATTATCAACGATGATCTTCCCATTTACAGGTTCGATCAGACGGAAAAGAGCCTGTATAAGAGTTGATTTACCGCTTCCAGTTCGTCCAACGATCCCTATCTTTTTCCCACCAGGAAATGTGCAGCTTACGCCATGAAGAACCATGGGCAAACTCTCTTTGTAGCGAACCTTATTGCAGGTAAAAAATTAAAAAAAATGAAATTAAGTAAGTTGCAAATGATTATCTACAACAAAAATCATTTAGATTCTGATATACAATGCACATACATTTAACTTCCCAGCCCTATTAAAACAGTTTTAGGAGAGTTCAGTACTCAACAAAGGCATGGTCATCAATATATTAGCAACTTAAATAATATACCAGTAAATATTAGGGTACTTTCTCATACTTAAGTTTGTGTACATATTTAGATATTCCCAATGCTAAGCAATTTCTTTTGGCCTTTGTAGAGTCTGTGATGCTAGACTTCTTCTTCTTCAAGAGATATATCTGATTGGCATCAGTGTTGACTTATCTATAATGACTTTCTAGAATGAGCAAAAGGTTTAGTTTCTTACCCTCACTTCTGACGATAGAATTATCGAACATTTCAATGTTTTGCCTACAACCTTTTCTCCACAGCAAAAGGCCTTCAATTTTTTTTCTTCTCAAATGTAAGCATAAATGGCCACCATTTATTTTACTTGTTCTGCATAATATTTTTTTTCCAGGTGCTAATCTGTAGTCTCCTCTTTTATTTATTCTCTCCATTTAGCTCAAGCTACATGTTAATGTTTTCA